AAGCACATCATAAGGTGAGGATGTCTGACTATATTGTTTGTAACTGGTGGGTTAATTCATGAGATTACCTAATTTATGAAAGCATGATTTTAATTGATTAATATGCCTAATAAAGTGTCAATTGATCATATTGTTGTATATGAAGAGTTAATGCAAGAGTGATTGGACTATGAGTAATTGGAGCATGATTACTTGCTATATTTGAAATGTTGTTCTAGTTGATTTAGTGAAGAACTAATAAAATGATTTATTAATCATTATTTAATCGTATTGACTTTATGGTTAGTAAAGTCAATATAGAATGAAGTGAGAACGAGTCATGGCATGGCTGCCATGTTCGTTTGAAAAGGGAAAGACAAATTGAACTGAGATCAACTCGGGTAGTACTAAGTGACTAGCCCGAGTTTGTAGCATGAACCTTAATAAAATTGATCCTAAACTTAGGATTGTGATACTTTGTCACTAGGGTATTTGATAAGTCCGTATTTAGACACGCATTTGATGCGTGTTCGGGTTTGATTTTGATGGTTTTCCTAGCTTTAAGGTGTTTCAAGTCTCAATTTTAGCTCAAGTTGCGATTATCAGGCGTTGAGTCGAGTTTCTTTGCATTTGGAGTTGAATTGAAGAAGTTAGAGTCCGGCAATCAGCGCTTGAGAGGCATTCAAGAAGGATTTGAAGACATTCGAAGAAGATTTGAGAGATTTGGAGGTCATCGAGAGATTCATGACGAAATTCTGATGAAGAACGAGTATTTGGATTGACCTCGTACATTCGGGAGCGTTTGGAACAAGAAAACGAAGAAAAAGTGAAGAATAAGGTCACGCACGGTCGTGCCCGGTGTTAGGCACGCCGTGCGTGCCTAGGAATGAAGCGGATGAGCTACTGGAACCCAGGCACGGTCGTGCCTGGCAGGCAGACACGCCGTGCCTGAAGAAAAATGAGGAACAAGGTACTGGAGGCCAGGCATGGTCGTGCCTGGCAGTTAGGCACGCCGTGCCTGGACGCATTTAAACGGGATGTTTCCGCAGGCACGGTCGCAGGCACGGTCGTGCCTGGCGCCGTGCCTGACCCCGTTTTGTCCTAAGTCTATCCAAATTCCACCCTTTCCTTTAAATAACACCCCCATAACCCTGATGAGGGGGGCTGGACTCTAGAGAGCTGATTAAGGACGAAAATTAGAGAGCTTTTCAGTCAGGTTTTTCAATTCCTTAACATTCTTTGTAAGTTCATACTTTTTGATTAATGACAATTAATTCTATTCTTCCCAATTCCGTTGATTCTTCAATTATGAATTGTGAGTAGTTTTAATTACGGATTTGGGGTTGATGAAGGGGTTTATCATGATGTATGGCTAGTTTCTTGATGGTTTGATTACATGAATGTCGTTTAATTTGTGTTTGAATAATTTAACTGTTATCTTTTGTAATCTGGAACCGCGGCTAGAATTACAATTGCACATAGAATAAATTAAGAGAGATCTAATTTATTCTAGGACACATTCACACACACTTAATTGTTCGCTAAGAGATTAGTAGCGATTAAGGGGCCGTAAGCTCGCTCGTCTTGGTAGTAATTTAGGATCCTGTCGCATGAGAGATCAGCCCGGTCCCCTAAATTATTGTACTCTACACCGCGAGAGCGGTAAGAACCTAGTATTGATTAGCTAGGCTCAATTAAATTAAATTCATGTAATTAGGCCTGACCTGCTAGAAATTTGATTACCCCGGAATCAATCTCTGTTCCCTTCATCGTTAATCAAGAAGAACCCAAATCTTTACTTTTATTCGCTCATTCGCATTAGTTTAATTTCAATTCAACCATTCAATCTCGCACGACGCATTTATTTTATTTCATTTTAATCGTTGAATTTAGTTAATCTTTAATTCCCTTTTGTTCGTCCCTGTGGAGACGATACTCGTACTTTCACCACTATTCTACAATCTTTTAAGTGGGAGCAAACTCACATCAGTATTCACTTGGGATAGCCTTAGATGATTTAAGTAATATATTGATCCTATGATTGAATTATTGATGTTATTTTTCCGGGTGGTCTGTAGGACACCCGTATTTGATTGTTTGATTGGTAGCAAGGGCCATGTCTCGGCTCTAGTCTAAGGATAGATGCCCGACCACATGGACTTGCTAATGGATAGGTGGGAGACATGGGCCGGATGAGTCTAAGGATCGTGTCGGACTGCATGGGCTCATAATAGAATAGATGTAAGAACCATGGCCCTGCCCGACTCTGGAGAGCGTGTTGGATAGCATGGACTTACGGCGTGATCACGTATAAGGGTGGAATCCGAATTAGAGACCTAACGAGGCTCTGACAGCGGTAACACATAAGATAGGACCCCGAATGGGCCTTACCTTCCGACGGGAACAGGGTATGAGTCCAGAGGCGGGATGTTGGACTCCGACCGAGTGCCCTGCGGGGACTCGGATAGTGGTGACAAGTCCTGTATGATTGATGTGACATTTGGGTTGAATTGTATGAATTATTAATGTAATGAATTATCGCAAAACGATATGAATTGTATTGTTAAATACAAATGGGGTAATAAATTATCGTTGGACGATACAAAGGTTTTTTTGACAAATACAAATGGGCCTATGAGCTGACTATTTGACCTTATCTACTTATGTATGATTTGAAAGCGGTAACTATGGGTTATTTCCTAGAATATGATATCACCATATGTTGAGGGTCTTAAGGATTGAAACATTAATTATATGTAGTATAGTTGTCATTGTACTTTTCAAATGCTTCAAAGTACTGACCTCTCCTTCACGGGGGAGGCCACCTCACAATTTTCAGGTAGAAGCTAGAGCTTGCTTCCTGTGCCCGTTGCTTCGGGAATCCTTGGAGAGAAGACGTGGTTCGTGCTTTCTCCGTTTTGTTTTCAAAACTATTACAATAATGCTCATGGATAATATTTTCTCATAAACTATTTGGGGGCTTGTATGCCTAACATTGCCAAATGTGGCCTGAACACTTGTAATATTATTTCCGCTGCTTTAATGAATATTTTTACATTATGTTTGTTTATGGATGTACTATGTGTGAATGATATTCCAGACGCCTTGTATAGTATGGATGTGTTGGACTGCGGTTGACTATTCATACTGTACGGCGGGTTGTTGACATGTCTGGGTAGGTCCGAGGCATGACATTGTATACTTTAGTGGTTATGATAGTAATCTAGTGGTCATGATTATATTCAACTCTACACTATAATGACTATGCACAGTAACTATAGACTATAGTTATATTTCAATAACATTTAAGGAAAAATCTCATTTTAGATTGTATTAAACTTGAATGTATTGATGCAGTTATATGCTCGTCCATTGAGCATAGGGACATGGCTCGAAAGCTTAACACCATACACCACTCGGCCTTAAACATGCTTGTGTGATTGACTTATCTCTTCATTAGATTGAACTTATCATGAATGGCCTTTAGGTCACTCTAGCCATCCTTTAACCTTAGCTTTTGGCAACATATTGCAACCATACCGCTTCTCTTGTACTCACTATTGTCTATGAATAACACATGAAGTCTCACCACACTTTCTCAATAATATAGATCGATTAAACAAAAGCATATTCTCTTATGCTTTTGTATAATTAGATCAGACAGGATATTAATTCCTCAAGTCTCTCTTGTAAGACATTTTATATAACCTCATGACTACTAGCATTATGCAATTACATAATTTTTTATAAGAGTACTATAATGAGAGGAAGCGGTCCAGTCCAGCTGGTCGCCGACTCACCCTCCCTTACGGGAGGTCTCGGGTTCAAAACTCAATGAAGTGAGTTTCAACGTAGATTACTCCGGGCTCCCTCCAGATGCCCCCCAGAAGTAAAAAAAAAGTACTATAATGAAGAGGTTTTAAAGAGTCATATATGATTCCTCCTAACTCCTTTTATGAAGTTATATGACCTACGTCACACCATCATCACCCCACATTCTTTTAGTGGGTTGTCCGCTATAATATGTGTGATGATGATGTCCACATAGGCTATATAACTCTTTAGAAGGTGTATGACTTTAAAAAAATTGTACTATAATGTATAATGTGTATTGTTGATCTCTTTTGTAGCATTCTCTCTATTCATCAATATGAAATGTGAATATTTCATTAGATAAAAAAAGGATGACATCTCATCCCTGAGGGTCCTCAACCGCGACCGGACGGGTTGTTGGGAGGATGTAAATTGAATTATAATCCCAATTTGATAGATAGAGAGTGAGATTCTGTCCCCAGTATTTGCAGAGGTCCTATGCATATTTTAGCATAGTAACATCTCATCGCAGTTGACGGGATTCGAACCCGGGACCTAACCCTCGTGTCACTCCCTCGCTACCAGTTCAGCTACGCCCACCGGTGTGAATATTTCATTAGATTAGTTTATGAAATTTTATCAATCCAGGACCTGAAAGATATATGAACTATCAATTCGGGATCTGAAAGATGAAATGTATTAGTATATGACTCCGAATGATGGAAACTATCAATCTAGGGCCCGAATGATTGAAAACTATCAATTTAGGACCTATGTTTTCATAAATTTTATTATTATTTTTATTCAAAAAAATTTAAATAATACAAGTATTTAGTTTTATTAAAATAATAAACTTTTGTGAAGAAAATTTCACAAAATATTAGTAATGGAATTAATAAAAAATTAAATAAATCAAAACCTATGAAATGTCAGGTCTTAGATTGATAGTTTTTCATCTTTCAAATTCTAAATTGATACATTTCATCTTTCAGATCCTAAATTGATAATTTGATTATATTTCAGAACAGATCGATAAAATTTCTTACTTTAAAGAAAGTGGAGGTTATTGTTCTTTTCCATCTCTCTACATGCAAGACAGTGGTGAAATCTCCACCTTTAATCCAACGACTTTCATTTCCATCCAAGGGCTGCCAACAGTTTAGTACCAAATGCTGTCGTGATGAGACTTGACAGCATTCTCTTTCTATTTGGTGGGTAAAACGCAATCACCGCCTTCTCCCCTTCTTCTCGTGCATTTCCAAAGCGTTATGCGCTTGCCTGCGTGTATGTGCAGAGAGAGGAAGCTCTGGTGAGAGTGAAGAGAGAGAAATCTAGATCTTGGAAGTAATTGAGTGAGTGCGAGGAAGGCGACATTGACGTGCTGCTGGTGCAAGCGTGAGAGATCTCAGAGAGTTATGGAGTTCGCGAGGGTTGATGTCAGCCCGCGATGGATCTCGTGCTGCTTCCTCATCGTCTTCTTGTTCTTCGCCAAGGCTCACTCTTTTTACCTCCCCGGTGTCGCTCCCCAAGATTTCCAGAAGGTAATTATGCGCCAATTCCTTGAAATGACGGTTTTAATTGAGTGTAACTATGGATCTTGCCGCCGACACGATGGAGGGCTTGACCTAGCTTTTTCTTACGGCTTGTTTGTATATGGAAGTAAGCTATAGTTTATCATTAGCGTTTGATTACCAAGGCTTTGCGGTCATTCTGTTCTCTCTGTTGGATCTGTAGAAGCAATGGGCTTTTGATTCAACAAGATCATATTGATATATATTTTAGAAGTGTGTGAAGGCTTAGGTGCTAATTAGGATGGCTTGAGATAACCAGCTTGGTTCTGCGTGATATCAATAAAGGCGCATTAGTTAATTTTGTTGGCTCGGGTAGTATGTTCATAAACTTTTCTCAGTCCATCTGAATGTATGCCTTTTTTAGTTTAAGAAAAACATTGATGGTTTCCTGTACATGGTTTGAAGTTTGTGTGTTTATGGTCTGGATTGTGACTGATTAACACGAATCTGAAATATGTGCCTAGAACCTTAGAAAGGACTGTCATACTGTAACATATCTATGTTGAATGAGCCTAGAACGTTAGCAACTGCTGGGTGATATATGTGGGTAATATATCTACTAGAAACATATAGTTATTTCTAGTCTAAGAGACTAAGGCTAGCAAACGGAGACAAGTTTGTAGAACAAAAATCAATCTTCTCCTTTTCTCACCTCCCCTCAAAAATCCCTGAACCAATCAAGTCCTAAGGTCTCTATAGTCAAGTTTTCTGTTTGTTTTCTGTAATTTAATAGAAGAAGAATACTTGGCCAGGAAATAGAGTATCATGGTTTTCTGAGTTATTTTCTGCTTGAATGTGGATTCCTGTTGAGGTAAGCATGTGTTCCTGATAATGGGTCCTTTATGTGTGATTACATGTGCATACATTGTTTATGGGGAAAGCTGCTGGAGAACTGCATTTCAAATGTTGTTATGCATGATGCCCTTATAATACGTCTAAGGGTAGATCATGTAATTATGTTTAATACTTTGATACCTCATGGAGTTCATATTATCTGTGTCATCACTTGTTTGGCAGGATGATCCTCTGAAGGTGAAAGTCAACAAACTGGCATCTACAAGAACCCAGCTTCCCTATTCCTACTATTCCCTTCCTTATTGTAAGCCAGATCGCATTGTGGATAGTGCAGAGAATCTTGGTGAAGTTCTTCGTGGTGATCGTATTGAGAATTCCGTTTATGAGGTGAGTTCACATGCACATCGATGTATTATTTTTAGGAATAAATTCTTTTTGAGTGGGAGAAAAATACTTTTACTTGGGTTATCACAGTGTTTTAACAGTCAAATACGCTTCTCACACCTACTTAAGAAAGCAGCAACTTGAGGTTTTCAAAAAAAGCATTTCAGGTTTTAATTGAGAAGGCTCTTATAAGTTATACCCTAATTTATCCCAAACTGGGTCTTACTTTTAATTGATGGTGATGGATACAAACACATAATAAGAATGCATTATTCTGTGCCTAATTCGTGGCCTAACAGAAGATGTTTCATGCAGTTTCGTATGAGGGAACCACAAATGTGCAATATTGCATGCAATCTTGTTCTTAATGCAAAAACTGCCAAAGATTTTAAGGAGAAGATAGATGATGAGTATCGGGTGAACATGTATTGAACTCATTTTGAAGTGCTCTTTTGAGGCTGTTTTATTCAATTTTTTATTGTCAACAGTCCCTGATTTAGTTCATTGATTGTAACAGGATTTTGGATAATCTTCCTCTTGTTATGCCCATCAAGAGGCCAGATCAGGATTCTATCATCTATCAACATGGTTTCCATGTTGGTCTTAAAGGAATATATGCCGGAGTATGCATCTTTGCACATTTTTCATTTCATTGTACCTTTTTACTTTTTAATGCCAAGGATGTCTCGATTAGTTCATTAATGCGTAATTGTCATTTCATAGAGCAAGGATGAGAAGTATTTTATACACAACCACTTGACATTTACCGTCAAGTTCCACAAAGATGCACAAACTAATGCTGCTAGAATTGTCGGATTTGAAGTGAAACCCTTCAGGTCAGACATGCATGTGGTTAATTCGTTATTTTTATATTTCTAAAGAAATTGGGTACAATATCATGTAGATCTTGTCTTATGTTTTATTTATAATATTCAGTGTGAGACATGAATATGAGGGTCAATGGAGCGGAAACAACACAAGACTAACAACCTGTGATCCTCATGCCAAACGTACAGTTACATCCTCTGATTCTCCCCAAGAAGTTGAAGATAAGAAAGAAATAGTCTTCACATATGATGTTGAATTTCAGGTAACTAATTTCATAACCTAACCTAATGTAGAGAAAATAAAACCTAACAATAAACATTAAAAAATAAGCAACTCCACTGCCCACTGTTTGTCCTTTTGCAGGAGAGTGAAATCAAGTGGGCATCAAGATGGGACACATATCTCTTGATGACTGACGATCAGATCCACTGGTTCTCAATAGTAAACTCTCTGATGATTGTCCTTTTTCTTTCGGGAATGGTGGCCATGATCATGTTACGAACTCTGTATCGTGATATCTCCAAATACAACCAGTTGGAAACCCAGGAAGAAGCTCAGGAGGAAACTGGATGGAAGCTTGTCCATGGGGATGTATTCAGACCCCCAACAAACTCAGATCTGCTCTGTGTTTATGTCGGAACAGGCGTTCAGTTCCTCGGCATGACGTTAGTGACAATGATTTTTGCCGTTTTGGGTTTCTTGTCCCCCTCAAACCGTGGAGGGTTAATGACAGCTATGCTTCTTCTCTGGGCCTTCATGGGCGTCTTGGCTGGGTACTCGTCAGCCCGCCTTTACAAAATGTTTAAAGGATCCGAGTGGAAGAAAATAACTCTCCAAACGGCTTTCATGTTCCCAGGAGTCTTCTTTGCCGTTTTCTTTGTGCTCAACGCTCTCATATGGGGTGAGAGGTCATCTGGGGCTGTACCGTTCGGGACAATGTTCGCTTTGGTTTTCTTGTGGTTTGGTGTCTCAGTCCCACTTGTATTTGTGGGTAGTTACGTAGGGTTTAAGAAGCCAGCCATTGAGGGGCCTGTTAAAACAAACAAGATTCCAAGACAAATACCGGAACAGGCATGGTACATGAATCCAATATTCTCAATCTTGATCGGGGGAATTCTCCCTTTCGGGGCGGTCTTCGTTGAGCTCTTCTTTATCCTCACCTCCATCTGGTTGCAACAGTTTTACTACATATTCGGTTTCCTCTTTGTTGTTTTTGTCATCCTCATAATCACTTGTGCGGAGATAACGATCGTTCTCTGCTACTTCCAGCTGTGCAGCGAGGACTACCTGTGGTGGTGGCGGTCCTACCTCACTTCAGGCTCTTCAGCTTTCTACCTCTTTGTTTATGCAGGCTTCTACTTCTTCACTAAGCTGGAGATCACTAAGCCGGTCTCAGGCATACTCTATTTTGGGTACATGCTGATTGCTTCATATGCTTTCTTTGTTTTGACTGGTACCATTGGGTTCTATGCTTGCTTTTGGTTCACAAGGCGTATCTACTCGTCGGTGAAGATTGATTGATTAAGTCTGAGCATTGGAATGCGCTGTAGCTGGTCAGTCAGTGATTGAACAAAGGGTTGTCTAATTGTGTATCTTCAATACCATTATTATTACTCTGCTACTGCTTCAAGATATCTTTTTGTTGATTTTAGGCTTCTTTATAAATCTTCCCAAGAAACACATTGAGATGAAAAAGATGAGGGTTTGCTTCATTAATGGATGGATGGTTCGGTATGATATATATAAAAAATTCTATTATGCAATGTGTATTGTACCAGAGTTTTCAGTACTAAGATATTACTAAAATCCTCCAACTATAACCTTCATCTATATTTTGGCACATCCATCAAAACTAGGGGTGGACCGGTTCCGGTTCGGGCCCGGCCGGGCCTCGGTTCATGAAAGGGGAGGCCCGGAACCGGCCCGGGTAACCCTTGGCTCCAGGCCGGGTCGGGCCTCGGTTCATGTATTTTTTTTTTGGCTTTTCCTAATTAACCCCCAACCCAAAAGCCTAAAAAAATTCAAAAAAGAAGAAAAAATAAATAAATTGGCCCGGACCGGGCCCGAACTGGCCGGGCTGGTTCACTGTTTAGTAGGCCCGGGCCCGAACCGCCTACCTCACCGGGCCGGGTGGCCCGAACCGGGAACCAACCGGTTCACCGGGCTGATCTGGGCTGGTCTAGTTCCGGGCCGGTTGGCCTGGCCCGAGTCCACTCCTAATCAAAACAAGCTTTTAGGTATACATATACCCCTCTTAATTTAGAGTCCGAAATGTAATTATGTAATTAAAGTTCATCATATCCATACAGAATATTTTCAAAAGCAACACATTATTAAACTAAAATAAAAGGCTACCAACATAAAATGGCAACGATGAAGAAAATGAACAAAAAAATCTGATAGGATATAAATCAATGCGGATGTGAGTTCTTGTTAAGCCTAGCCAATAGCCATATTACGTATTGTATATTTCAACTTTGTTTGGACAAATCCTTGATCCTAATTCTTTCAATAATTGCTAAACCTTTGAAAAATTGTAAACTTCCACAAGCTTCGTTTATGCTCTTAGTCTCTTTACCTTTTATATAATGTCCCCTATTCTTCTGTATTGCACATTCACACTCAAACGTATTTTGTTTGTATGACTTGGTCTTTGATGCTTCAGATTCTAGTATTATACTCTTATGGAACTATCTTCTAATAGAAGCTAGTAGGTGTGATTGTGCGAATTGCACACTTGTATATAAAAGCAAGTTTTATTTCAAAGTGTTTACGGTAATAGAACTTGCAATAAAACTCTTAGTAGAATCTCTATAGTTCTAGACAGCTGGGTCAAGGCCCTCAAGGGCATCAGTGGACCCAGCTGGAATTTTGGATTTTTTTTTTAATTAAATAGCATCGTTGGTTGAAACCCAAAGAAGTCTTATACGCAAACCCCTTTTGCCTGAGTTCTGCGTGAAGTTTTGCCCACAAACCCCTTCTTCCAGAGTTAATCCGTCGTTCAGCTCCAACTGGTCCGCCGTCTTCTACGCTTTCCTCAGCTTGCAGAGCCGCTGTCCCACAAGCCACAGGAGACAGCCACAATGTTCTTCTCCAGCCAGGCACACCACACACCACAACTTTAGTGGTCTTCTCCAGTCGGTCGGCCCTTCTTTTTTCTTGACAGCTTCAAGTAGGGATGGACTCGGGCCGGGTGGCCCGACCCGGAACCGGCCCGGGACCGGTACTGTTCCGACCCGGCCCGACCCGGTGGCTCGGTCAGTGACCGGTCCGGGTAGGCCCGGCCCGTGGGTTTTCCGGTCCGGGCTCGGGTCACCCAAAACAAGGCCCGACCCGGCCGGGCCCGGGCCTGGTTCGGGCCAAAAAATATTTTTTTTTTCAATTTTTTTTTAACTTTTCGGGTTGGGCTGGGTATTTTGGGCCATTTGGGGTGGTTTGGGGGGTTGGGGGTGGGAGGGGGGTTAATTAGGAAGAGGAAAACAAAAAAAAAATATAATGGGCCTGGTCCGGCCCGGCCCGGCCCGGACCCGGACCGGACCCGGTGGTTACCCGGTCCGGTCCCGGGTCCACCATTTCTGACCCGCCGGCCCGCCCGGGCCTAGGCCCGACCCGGACCCGGCCCGGACCCGAGTCCAACCCTAGCTTCAAGTCTTCAAGCTTCAAGTAATTGTGAATTGCAACCTTGCACGTTAGTTTCTAATTAGAACTTTAGAAGTATTGAATATGTAGAGGCTATAAATGAAGGGTTTAAACATTGACTTTGAGGTGTTCACTAGGAAATCATTAAGAAAATGTTAGAGAAATCATTGAGTTTGAAGTGTTCACATATCAAATTGGAGATTGCAGACTAAGTTGATAGACATGTTTTCTTGAAGACTTGAAAATTAAACCGGCATATTGGACTAAATAGGAGTTTGAGTTGAAGAGTTAAAACTGGCAAATTAAAACATGAGTTTGAGTTGAAGAGTTAAACCGACAGATTGGACTAAAGTTTGTAAAGATAAGATTTGAATTATTAAAAATTATCATAAAGAACTAAAACATCACAGATTTTGATTTATTTAAAAATGGTGGACATTAGGAGACATTTGGACTACACTTTGATGTTTTTGCTTCAAAAGTTGGTTTTGATTTTACCGGTTGCGATTGCCAGTGTAGAAAGAGCGCTTTGCAATGAAGATAATTAAAAGCTCACCGTGGAATCGTATGAGTGATGATATGCAAAGTGATTGTCTGGTGCCATATTTTGAAAAAGACATCTTTGACAGTGTGCTGAATGATAAAATTTTACAACGATTTCAGAATATGAGGGAACATCGCCATTTGCTACCACGCACTACGACATAATCATGTACGTCCGTTTAGTCTTCTTTATGTTTTATCCAACTTTTTTTCTTGGAACTTCTTTGTATTCACACTATTTTTAGGTTTTAAATATATTATGCCTTTAGTTTCTGACCCTGCTCAACCAAAGTCCTGGTTCCGCCCCTGGTTCTAGACCCAAGTTTAAAACAATTGAGGCAGTTATGTGCATTTTTTCCTAAAATGTTCTTTAACTGTATACAACAATTCATATGGATATATGTTTAAGCAAAATTTTGATAAGCTAAAACTAATTAAAAAAAAATTATATGTAGATAGAGTCTCGTACAAGAACAATAAGGAAGATGACAAGTGAGCAAATAAGAATAAAGTTTAGTGTGTTGTTTGAATGTGAAGTTGTGGATTACAATGGGAGGATGCTCTATTTATAGGAAGGGTAATTAATGGTCTAGTTGTCCGTTAAAGACGGTTTGGCTGTTCCGACCCGACGGTTTCACAACTCGTCATTAATGTTAACCAGCTAATTTTTGTACTTAAAGATAATACTAGGACCCGGTTGGACCGAAACGGGCCGAGCAGGCCTAAATGAGCCTCGCCGACTGGGTTTCTTACCGGGGTGATGCCTTGGGCCTCTAAACAGTAGTAGGCCGGGATAATATATCCCAACAATATATATATATATATATATATATATATATATATATATATATATATATATATAGACACACACACACACACACACACACTAAATGTAGCGGGCTGGGTTTATAGTCCCAAATGAGCTTACACCCTAACCCAAGTGCGCCCATATGCAGAGCTGTGCCTTTGTGGAGGCTAGTGAGGCTTAAGCCTTAGGGCCTCAAATTTACAAAAAAAAATTAGGGGTCCCAGATTTTATAATATTAGTATGTACTGCATCCGTCCCCCTATGTTTGAGACAAAGGGGTGTGGTGGGATTTTTAAGAAAAAGTAAAAATGTGTGGCTGGTATTAAATTGATAAAGTGTGAATAAATTAAGAATGAATTGTAGTCACCCAAATATTTCCAAATATGGTATGAGACAAACTTAATGAGACAGACGAAAAAGGTAAAACGAGACAAAGTTAGGGGGACGAAGGAAGTATATTATACATATATAGTAGATACATAATACTACGTATATGTAATTGAATTCCAAATTGGCTCCCTTCTTTTAACAAAAAATGAATAGGTTACTGGGGGACACACAATTGAAGGAAGATGAAAGCAATAGTTGACCTATGTAGAGGAAAGGACCGAACTAGAAGAAACTTAAGAGCCCATTTGGTAGTCATGTTTTTCGGCTTATCAGTCTTATCGGTCAACTTTTTCACCAAACACGTAACTTTTGGTTTCGCGCGCTGAATTGTGTAATAATAACAAAAAGTAAGGTTGAAGTTACTTTTCTTGCTGTAATGGTTGAAGTTACTGTAGAGAATCATTTTAGCTATTTTTTCATATAATTTTTTCTTTATTTTATTAATAAAATATCTTTTAAATATATGTTCTTCATAAATCAGCAGAATCAAACAATACAGACACTCCAGCCAGAACTTCATAAATTTCAGTAGAATCAGCCAATACAGGCGATTTAGGTATTACCAAACGGGATCTAAATGTATTATCTTTTGTTGGATTTTACTAATATTTTAATTTTTGTTAGCTGATTAGTTCTAATCTGATCTCTTGTTATGATTAAGTCGTGACCTAATCTCGTATTTTTTATTTTGTTTGAATCTTCCAAAGTCCGTGGAATAAATTTAGCTATATATTAAGTTTTAATCAAATGTGTTCTTGTTGATAAATATATATAGTTATAAAATACGTAGTAACTATAAATCGGTTTCACGACATTACATGTCGTGTGCTAGTAAATAATTTAGCTTTAAAAAAATATATACAACGTATAATCAAATTGGAACTAACCTAGCTAGTAGGGTTGGGTTTTTATGTTTTATCACACTACTTCACTAAATAAGTGATTGGAGTTCAATTAGTCAAGTTATATGCTATTTATTTTTAGAGAAAATAAAAAATGTACACCAAAATTTCTATCATTATATCAAAATTTAATTGAAGTGTGTAGGGAGTTGTACTTAATTAGTTATTTATAACACATTTAATAATATTGCTATATCGTGATGTAAGAACTTTATTTAATAAGTTATTTTTGCAGTATTTCAACTCTTACTTCTACATAAATTTAGCGTGGTATGAAGTAGTATACAAAAATGATTTATAGGGGCCTTTTATGAAACTCGACTCATGCTCAAAATTAGGAAGGATCGACACTGCTCATATGCTATTGCGGGTCAGCCCCGGCCCGACCCGGTGGGTAAATATATATGTCCAAGCCCGCCCATTAGTACGGCTGGACGACCCGGCCCGTTTTTGTGCAGGTCTACGAAGGAGGAATCTTTTTGAAGGGATGTACTGATTGTAAGTAACCGGAGAGGTCACTAAGGAAAGTG